GCACGTTTCCCTGCAAACCTGTGTCCATCTGTTGCCTTTGAGACTTAAGACCAGTGTCCTGAAAAGAGCTGAATCAGCAGCTAGCAGGAGCATGCTTTAAAGCCTTAAATTCCACATTAATGTGGTGGTGGAGAATCATCTTATGGCCTGAAGAACAGGATGGGGAGCCAGGAGTATTTTCCTGGCCTCTCCACTGACTTTATTCAGTAGGTTTTAAACTTCTGTCTTGGATTCTTTTGAATGGGGAGACCAAAATATATACTTTTAGGATGACATCATTATTAATAAGTCTGGAGGCTATTAGAGAGAGGATGCGAGGGGAGGAACGAGCCCTACAGTGAAGGGAATCGGCAGTGCAAACCAAACGTCTTGCAGCTCTAAGCCTGGATTTGTTCTATGGGAGTTCAGCACGTGCAGCTTGCTTCAAGACTCCGGGGGAAAAAATGCATCCAGATCTGCTCACAGCAGCAGAGGAGTGGGTTCACTTAAATACTTTCCTTATTGAATTTTGTTACTGTGGATTAGAGCGGTGCTGCCGTAAATGTGTGTGCGCGGTTGGCTCCTACTGGTACTGTCTGTGTTTGTTTCCTTAAATGCTCCTAAGTGAGTCTGCGGAGTCCTCGGTGTTGTCTTTGAAGAGCTGGCATAGCTGCTTCGATAGCGATGCGGTACAGCTGCCGTCCTGAAACTGAGGAGAGAGATCTCGGGAGGAGCCAGAGAAGAATAATTCCAGGGCTCGTGTGGCTGCTGCGCGGTGGAAAGACGTGGGGTAAAATCTGTGCTGCTCCATCCCCTAGACTGGTCCTGAGTTACTGCTTGTCTCCTGATGAAAACTGACCCAGATGGCAGGGATGAACGCCTGCACCAGAAGACACCCGAGTGTCTCCGGTGTCGTAACTCCCTCTTGTCCCTCCTGACCAGCCCTGAGGGGAGACAGAAAGCTGAGAGCCCTTTGCAGTGCCACGGTGCTGGGTGGCTCCCGGACACAACCAGGCTCCTGAAGTTTCCTCGTTGTACCTGGGCTGCTGTTCCTCCTGGAAATACTAAAACGCGCCTGTGTTCACATTCCACTGGATTCTGCCTTTCCTAACGTCGTGACTTAGTCTGAATAGTTTCTCTGAAGCACCTCAATAAACAAGACCTCTGGGTAGGGGAGGTTTTATTTCTGGGGCGCTGCAGACACTGTGAAAGCTTTGTCTCTTGATGTTTGAACGCGTAACTATTTTGAAGCGGATGGTAATACGACCTGGAGGAGAGGCAGACTGTGGTTGCTAGTACACACTGCAGTGTTGTCTCCTGAAGCCCGTAGGGCTGCTGCTGCTCTGATCTTAGGGAGCATTCCTCCGGGATTCGCTTCTGCAGGTGGAATAGGCCCAGAAGGGAGATTCCTGATTGTTTTTCCAGTGAATTCCCCTGGGTCCTCAAGGAGAGCCCCTTCTGCTCCTCGCAGGATCCTGACAAAGATGAGACGTGATGCTGTGTGACCTGAGCACAAAACGTGTGTGCCCCGAGTCATCTTCCTTGGCCGAAGTGCAGGATGGCATTCACACAGGCTTGTTAAAATTCCTTTTTGCTAGTCAAACTTGCCTCTGGAGCAGGGGGCTCCCAGGCAACTTTATCCTCCCTCACCAAGTTTCCTTCAGTTTTACAGTAAAGGGTGGGTTGTTTTTCCTCGTCTTGCCTGACTCCAGAAGTCTCTAAGCTTTTGGGGAACAGCAGCAAACCAGCCTGCGGCTGCTTTTTGGAGTCTTTGGGTTCCTGGGGTGTCTGACTTGGCAAAGCTGTGCCAAGAGTGAAAATAACACCTACTATATTGACTATAATCTAAATTAGTATCTCCCTGACTAACCTTGGTATCAATTAAAATAACCTGGAGGTCTGTTGTGACCCCCCACACACACCCCTTCAGCTGCTCGTGGACCATGGGGTCTCCCAGCGCTGTGACTTTTTGAAAGGCTCTGGCATCTCCCAGCGGTCCGTCTGCTTTACTAATTAACACTTCAGGGAGTACCGCTCTCGGCTGGTAACTATTACATCCTGCCTCGGAATGCTTTCCCCAAATTGCTGTGTCTTTTGGCTGAAATCCTCCAGTAAAATGCCTCAAGAGCTTTGGTTTGAATAGAGAGCGGTCCTGGAAACCAGAGTCGTGCAGCTTTTAGCTATTCCTTGGCCTCTGGTCACCAAAGACCCCTGGTAACCCAAGCGCAGAGCTGACTGCAGGCCACTGTTTGCCTTGGCACGAGAGGGACCAGCGAAACATGCTGACCTGTTGGCTACGTGCTCTTTGTCGATCCTTTTCTCCTGTAAAATGCTCTGATTTAGTTTCCTGTTGGGCTTTCTGGAGTATTATAAACCAAAACTGGAACCTTAAGGGCAGTTTGCCATACTCTGTTAATTAGAAATGCCTTCTCATCTCTGGAGAGCTGGAGGTCCTTCAGGACCTGGCTGTAAGGCTACTCAGCACGCCTTACCTGCCTCTGCCTTCCCAAATACCCCTCGTGGGGCTGCCTGCTCCGCAGCAAGGCCATCCGGGCCCTGGGGAAGATCCTGGTGATACATGAACAGAGCACTGTGCTCTGGTGTGTGTGGGACAGCCATGGGAAAGTTGTCCTGGCTGCTTCAAGCAGCTCGACTGTAGCTTTCAGCCATGACAGGACCCTCCTACCCTGCGTCTTGGTGTCGGGAGAGAGGTTGTTTCAGTCCAACTTAGTTTTTGGCTAATAGTTGCTGAGCCTTTTTCCAATGCAATTAATGCAGTAGCAAGAAACAGCAGCCACATCAACTGAAGTGGGTCAAAACAGATGTTTAAAGAAGATTAAAATTGAAAGCCAGATTTTTCTGCAGACTGGAAGGCTTGTGGTTCTGCTGGGCTTGATGTTAGACCCCCCCCAACATTCCTGCCTCGGTATTTGTGCTTATAACTGACGTTATGTTCTTCTCTGACGTGAGCTGACTAAGGGGGTTACTCGGAGGGTTTTTATACGTTTCACAGCAATTCCTCTGCCCATGTGTTTATCCTCCAGGCTAAAAAACCATCTTGTATCCATGAAAAACATTGTAAGAGGCTTCTCTCGAACACTGCTAGTAGGTATTGAGGCCGGGCACGTCTGACTGGTGCTGATGTGCCTTCCCTCGGAAGCCTTTTATCCGTATGGGACACAAGTGTCCTGCCCCCTGGACGGCATGGCTTTGGGAAATCCCCTTTGCTGGCTGCTGGAGGGGAACAGCCATGTGAAAGCAGTTGTACTTCCTTCCTCCCTTCCCCTCCAGCTTTTCCTGACATGGGGCAGGATTTCATCTTATTTCTCTCTCAGCCTCACCTCCTGACTTGCAAAAAAAATGGAAAAATGCCTTGTTTCCATAGCAGTATTTCTTTGAATTCCTGATGGAACTTTACAAATGACTCTTATGAAACCAGTGTGAACATACGTGGCTCCTTGAATCCAAATGTTTACTTTCCAAGAATTTTTCCTGCATATTCCCCCCACCCACCAGTTTAGTTAGACCTGTTGTAAAGTCTCCCCTTGCTTTTCCTGCTTCCTCCCCTGATGTCCAGTGCTAGACCTCTAACCCACACGGCTTCTGTTTAGTGTCCCTGTTCCATAGGCAGATGCCTTTCGTCCCCAGGTCTCCAGGCACGTCGGTAGGAAGGTCACGATCATCAGCCCTGTCTAATACAAGGGGAAATTGAGGCACAGCCCTGGAAGGGCCCTGCCTGAGGTCGCTCAGCTGGTCAGTGTCAGAGCTGAGGTTTGAACTGATTTCTCTTGAAGTTCAGGCTTGTTGCCTGGGATGTCTGTACATCTCCTCCTTAAGCAGCTCGAAAGGCTGGTTAACGGGTTTTGCTGTGTCTTCGTACGTATCTGTGATATTCTGGTTGTTTTTAGGGATAGCTAAGACTTAGCAAAACTGCCGGAGGATTTTAGCTTCTAGGCATCTGGGTTTGGAGCCAACTCCTTCCCCTTCTCCCTCCCCTTTGGTGGTTGCCAGGAAATAATGGAGCTTTAAAGGGCTGGGAGGTTTTTTCCCACTACACTCTGGCGTTGCTTCATTTGGAAACTATTCAACCATCAACCCCCACGTGTGCTCCTTGACCACTCCATGTGCTGGGGCGCCTGAGTGAGGAGTACGTGAGCGGGAAGCAGGCAGAGAAGGACCAGGATTTAAACTCTGCACAGCATCTGGATGGCATTCCCCTAATTGGTCAAAAAGCTGCTGGTTCATACCTTAAATGATTAGCTTATTTTGAGGATGTAGCAGTTGTAGGACAAGTAAGTCCTTACCCAGACTTGGCAACCAAGAACTGGAGGCCACTAGCTCTGGTCTGTTGGATGGACAGGGTTAGCTAAACCTGCAAAGTGCCTGTGTACAGTAACACATGTTGATTCTTTACAGATGAAACGGGATGTGCAGTCACTGTATTGGGAAAACTTCAGTGTAAATACCTCACTTCTGACCATACTATAACATATTTCATTACCCTTCTAGTTTTCCACTGTTTAAGTGATTGCTTTGGCTCCTTTATTGGCAGAGGTGTGGGAGAAAAAGGGTTCAGTTATGTCTGGTAGGGTTTGAAGCAAGGTTGGCTGTAGCTTGCTAGAGCCACTGAACTACTGGATTTACCGAGAAATTGGAAAGATCAATTGCTAGCACTTATGATCTGTAGAATTTTAACCTGGAAAAGGTATTTTCCAGCTAAGGCTATTTAGCAAGTTGGCCTAAACTTAGAAATGGTTTTCATGGGGTTTGGTTTTGGGGTTTTTTTTCAGTTTGTTCTTCCACCCCAGGAGAAATAATTTACCTGACTTTGATTTTTACGGGTCCCATTGTACATAGTCTCTTCCGTAGCTTTATCCCCTGCTGAAGCAAACACAAAGTCTGTGTCATTACCCAGCCTTACTCAGACGCTCCTTCCCTTCCAGGGCATCCACACGGGACCTGCCTGCACTGACCGGAGCTGCTAGCAGAGGACTTGGCTCTGAGAACTGTGAGCCCTGAAAATGGAAAGATTCCTGGGTTTCACCCATAACCACTGTTTCATCGTGCTGTTCTTCATCGCCCAGAGCCCACTGGGCCTGGCCCAGTATGAACACTGGCCCTACCTCCCTGGTTACCCTGAGCCACCCCCACAAGTGTACCAGCCCCCCCAGAGACCAGTGAACGTTCCCAAGATCCAGCTGCGGCTTGCAGGGCAGAAGAGAAAACACAACGAAGGCAGAGTGGAGGTGTTCTACAGTGGCGAGTGGGGCACGGTCTGCGATGACGACTTCTCCATCCACGCGGCGCACGTCGTCTGCAGGGAGCTGGGCTACGTGGAGGCCGTATCTTGGCTACCGAGCTCCAAGTATGGAAAAGGAGAAGGTAAGGCAACTCCAGAGCAATGGAGCTGTACTAGCTGTCTCTCCAGCTCCCGGTAATTGTTGACCTGTCAGTCAAATTTAAGATGGAGCAATATTTCCTACAGATGTAACTGAAATAACTTCCAGGAGACGCAGTGCCTCTTTATATCAGGGTCCTATTAGATTAAACAGTTTAAGTAATAAGTGTTAGCGTGTTTTGACAGAAACAAGTTAAGGAATGATGAGATAAAGAGCTGAAGGACTAGATCCCGGTGTGTGAACTCTGGCTTGGGAGCAGCTGGCAGCAGATAAGGGTAGGAGGCTCTCCAGCAGCCGCTACAGCTTGTCAGGAGGGAGGCTGCACCCACAAGTGTCATGTATAGATGGTGCATTTCCCTATTTGTGCTGCCGTCGCCTAGCAGTGAGTCAAATGGGGCCTCTAAACGCTCCTGCCCCCTGTTCCTTTTCCCTCTGAACTGTTTGGGCTCTAAACAGGCTGCCTGTGCAATGCTGGACAAATCCTTTCCCCTGTTAGTGTCTTAGAGATGCATCCAGGCTGTCGCATTGCGGAATACGATGCAAAACCCCAAAGGAGCGTGCACGCTTTATGTCCTACATGGGACTATATTTATTATAATCCTTTGGGACACTCTTGGGCTGACTCTGATGGGGAAGAGCTGTTCACCCGCACCCCAAATCGCATATCCTTTCTTGATCTTTGAAACGATACATGATTGCACCTCATTCCCAAATATGTGCTGAGCAAAGACTTGGAAACAACCCCAGGTATCAGTATAGGTTGGGGGCTGATCTGTTGGAGGGCAGCTCTGGGGAAAAGGACCTTGGAGTCCTAGTGGACAAGAGGATGACCATGAGCCAACAGTGT